GTTGATGGTTTAGCTGTGCTTTCACCCCAGTCTATCTCTGGCAGCTGTATGCCGCAGGAGTCTGCTGCTCCTGCGAGAAGCGTTCCTTTGCTGCTGCTGCTGTCTGCTGCTGGATCTGTATCTGCTGCAGCAGCAGCAGCAGCAACATCATCTGGGGGGACAGAGCCGTCAGGTGTCTCCGCAGCTCTCAGGCCCCCCTTCAGACCGCAAGGAGCTGTGCTTATACGAATAGCAGAAAGGAGACAGGAGACAGTTGGCGGCGGCAGCAGCGGCTCAGCAGGTATATACAGAGGAGCAGCAGCAAGATGCATCGCTACTTCTGCTGCAGAAGGTAGCTGCTGAGGCTGCTGCTGCTGTTGCTGCTGCTGCTGCTGTGACCCCTTGCTGCTGATGCTGCTGCTGCTGCCGCTGCTGCTGCTGCTGCTGCTGCTAACGAATATCTGCTGCAATGCGTTGTGCAGCAGCAACACCCGCCGCGCCAGCAGCGGATTCCCCTGCAGCAGCTGCACATACACCCCAGCAGCAGCAGCAGCAGCAGCANCCGCCGCGCCAGCAGCGGATTCCCCTGCAGCAGCTGCACATACACCCCAGCAGCAGCAGCAGCAGCAGCAGCAGCAAAACAAAGACAAGCGATGAGAAGGATGACACAGCAGCAACACAGGAGACAGCAGCAACAACAACAGCAGCAGCAACAACATCAATAGCAACAGCAGCGACGGCAACAGCAGCAGCAGCAGTAACAGTAGCAGCAGCAGTAACAGTAACCGCAACAGGAGCAACAGCAGCAGCAGCAGCAGCAGCAGCAGCAGCAGCAACAGCAGCTATAGAAGGAGGAAAGGCCTTACAGCAGCAAAAGATGTCTCTTGTTCTGTGGTGGTCCATGTGGGTGTTTTAACCATAAGTGTCTCTGCTGCAGCTCCCGCAACAGCTGCAGCAGCAGCAGCAGCAGCAGCAGCAGCTGCTGCTGCTGCTGCTGCTGGGGACTCCGGGGAGCCTGCTGCAGCAGCAGCAGCAGCGCCCCCCGTTGTGTCTCCAGAAGCAGCTGAGGAGACAGCTGGCAGCAAAGGAGACACTACCTCTGTTAAGCAGCAGAGCAGGGGGGCCCCCCAATGCCACAAGAAGGGGCCCCCCACGACCTCGTTCTCCGCCAGCAGCAGCAGCAGCAGCAGCAAACCCCAAAACACCTCAAGCGAAACCCCAATGCTGCAGCCTGCTGCTGCATCTGCTGCTGCAGCAGAACCCCGAGAAAGAACAGAGGCCAGTAGGAAGACAACGCGCCTGCAGCAACAGCAGCAACAGCAGCAGCAGCAGCAACAGCAGCAACAACCATCCAATACAGCAGCAATCAAAGAATGCTGCTGCAGCAGTGCGTCTACTACAGCAACAGCAGCAGCAGAAGCAAATGCTGCAACAGCAGCAGCAGTCCCCGAAACAAAAGCAGCAGCACCAGCAGCAGTAAAGCAATAGTAGCTGCAGAAGCAGCAGCAGCAGCACCGGGGTGCACCAGCAACAGCAACAAGAACAACGGGTGCAGCAGCAGCAGCAGCAGCAACACCAGCAGCAGCAGCAGCAACACCAGCAGCACCAGCAGCAGCAGCAGCAACAGCAGCAGCAGCAGCACCAGCAGCAGCAGCAGCAACCTGCTGCTCGTCCTACCCCTGCAGATGACAGTGCGCAAGTGTCTCCGCAACAACAGCAGCCCCAGCAGGGGTGTCTCCAATTGCTGCCAGTGCAGCAAGAGCTTCTGCATGTATCTCTGCGCTGCTGCTGCTGCTGCTGCTGCTGCTGCTGCTGCTGCTGTTGCTGCTGCTGCTGGTGAGGCCCAGGGCCTTGAAGGCCAAGGCCCTGGCCTGCA